GAATGTATATTATTTATTAAAAAATTTATAAACAAACGAAGGCTCTCTCTGAAAGTCTGTAATTTTATAAAAACGATAGTTGCGAATAATTTTTTTCTTTCACTTGTGAATATATCTTAGCACTAGCGAAATATTGTTTTTTTATTGTTAGTAATTTTCTAGAAAAAAGAATTTTTTTCGTTACCGACCGGGAACATTGATTTTTCGTTATCGACCGAAAAATATTTTTTCTTTCTTTTATTTTGTGTTATTTCTTCCTGCGTTATGTCTTATTCGCATCATTTTTCTTTGCGTTACACTCTTTTTGCTTTATTTTTAATTTTTTTCTCGTTACCCACCGGTAAATTTCTCGTTATCGACTGGGAGATACTTTTTTTGTGATTTTCTGTTGCTTTTTCGTGTTTTGTGTTTCTTTTTCGTGTTATTTCTCTCAACGTTACTCTACTTTTGCTGTATTTTTAATTTTTTTCTCGTTACCAGTCAGTAACAGTGATTTCTCGTTATCGACTGGGAGATTTCTTTTTTTTAATTTTGCAGGAATATTTTATTTTACAATACAATATTCCGTATAAATGTTTGTGTATCTTGACAAATTAAATAATAATTTCAAATAATTTAATAATATTTTCAAATATGCCGCCAGAAAATAATTTGCCGTGACGATATAATTCCCGTATGAGGGAGACACTATTCACAGGCACATTTTTTACTAGTAAGTTTCCACTATTGATTGTTCATAATTATTTCCCATTCATAAACTGTCAAAATGTCAAGTTGTCGTTATATACACATACGTTAAACGATTTGGTACGAACAGTGAGAAAAAAATGTTGATGCAAGTGTCGCAAAGCTCCTTGACAATAGTCGCTTTTACTAAAAAGTAATTATTCTAACGGAAATAGGTTCGCAAGTATCTTCCACATAACCTATTAATGATTCTTTGTACATTAAATCATTTAAATCATAGCAACAAGAAGAAAATGTTGATGATATTTAAAACTTTGAATTTTATAAATAGCAGTAACTATGGGTAAATTACTTTCAAACATATACTTGACAAAATTTAGTATGCGAATTTCTTACACAAAATATGATGTAAAAATTACAAGCTATGTATCAAAATTTTTAGATAAATCCCCCAAGCCAAAGAATTAAATTTCAATTAGAGTCTTTATTTACAAGATTGAAACAGGAGCCAATACTTATGGATATGATTCATGCGGTAAGTAAGAGAAATGTTTTATTAATAAGATGTGTTCAACACTGAATATTTTATTAGTTTCATGTGTTAAATACTCTTAGTTATGTCAATTGTGTATTTAAAACTTTGAATAATTATCTTTTTCTTTTTTTCCTTGATAAAAGTAACAGGACAATGAGCGTCAACAGGACAGGAACCGGTAACAGTATCTAGAGTATGTCTGGAATGTATATTCAAAGCTGCTTCTGAATGTACAGTTACAATCGGCTGTGACGAATCTGTTTGCGGACCGTTTCCTGCAACGTGACGGTATTGAACTGACGCTGGCAAACCTGCTCTCAACGACAACTCAAAAAAATATGGTTCGTATTTATGTATTATGATTTCGCACATAAATCGAGATAGATAAAATATAAAAAATATATAATATATAATATATAATATATAAAGATATATAAATATAAATAAAAATAATACAATAATAAAAACTCATGTTTTTCATTCAGCGTATGCTCAATGTGAAAAAAACTATTCTTTTTACGCAGCTCGCACAGGACAGGGCTACATAGCGAAATTTATTCAGGTACATGCACGTGAATACATACATATATATTGTTGTTGTTATATTATTATATCTTTTTATTTGTTACTTCTACAGGATTCTAACTGCAGTGAAAATGTCAAATGCTGCGATTTTCTTTGTATACGTCGATTCGGAGGATGCAGTGCCAGTTTGAATTCAAAATGTCATGACACTTGCAAGCTTTGCATGCTGACTTTTAGTAAACGATAACTAAATACATAATAATGCAGGAATATTTTATTTTATAGACTATACTGCGTATAAATGTTTGTCTATCTCGATAAATTATAAAAACTAATGTACCAAAATTATTTTATTTGAAGAAAAAAGAGAAAGAATGTAAGAGTGTAAGAATTTTATTCGAAATACATTCAGAAACGTTACATTAATACATTGTCGATGATACTTATTAGCTGTAATCTAAAAGTAGTTTGTTGTTTTCTTATGAAACGTTAGTATTACTGTAAATTTATATTACTGCTATAATATATTACTATAATATGTTACTACATTTTCAACAGAATTATTATATTTTGTTGTATTCTAAATTTAAAATCCAGTTTTTGCCCCCCGTCTGAAATTAATAATTCATCTACCAATTCCATTCTCTCTTTTAGCATTCTCCTCTGTTCATCCAAAATTTCATACGAATGTATATTATTTATTAAAAAATTTATCAACAAACGAAGGCTCTCTCTGAAAGTCTCCAATTATATAAAAAAGATTGGTGCGTATAATTTTTTTCTTTCACTTATGAATATATCTTAGCACCAGCGAAATATTGTTTTTTATTGTTAGTAATTTTCTAGAAAAAAGAATTTTTTTCGTTACCGACCGGGAACATTGATTTTTCGTTATCGACTGAAAGAAATTTTTTCATTCTTTTTTGCGTTATTTCTTCCTGCGTTAAGTCTTTTTCGCATTATTTCTCTTTGCGTTACACTCTTTTTGCTTCGTTTTTTCTTTTTTTCACGTTACCGACAGGGAACATTTATTATCGACTGGAAGATTTTCTCTCTTTTTTATTTTGCAGGAATATTTTATTTTACAATACAATATTGCGTATAAATGTTTGTGTATCTTGATAAATTAAATAATAATTTCAAATAAATTAATAATATTTTCAAATATCCCGCCAGAAAATAATTTCACGTGACGATATAATTCCCGTACGAGGGAGACACTATTCACAGGCACATTTTTTCCTAGTAAGTTTCCAATATTGATTGTCCATAATTATTTCCCATTTATTAACTATGTGTGAAGATAACAAGTTGAGTTGTATACATGTACGTTAAATGATTTGATACAAATAGTAAGAAAAATAAAAATTTTATAAATTTATTAAATTTGCATTTTTCCATATTTTTAATTCAAATTAAATATAAATACAAAAATAACCAAAATATAAATTATTATTTCAGTGCTAAAATGGAAAATAAGAAAAGGAAAAAATGAATACGAACTTACGGTGACGCGTAAGCATAAAACGATATTAACATCCATTTGTGAATAAATTTCTCAAATCAAATCAATTAACAATTGAAAACACGCACCAAAAAAGAAAAAAAAAGATAATGATAACGATATACAGGATGTTTTATGGTGCATATTGGGTTCGGATGTTATTGTTGAATCAGACGTGGGGAAACGGTGGCTTGGCCTGCGAGATCACCAGACCCAACACCCTTGGTCTTTTGTCTCTGTGAAAATGTAAAAAGAAGTTGAAACATCGAATTTCGTAACGTTCGGAGAAATAAAAAACTGTGACACGCAGGAAGGGAACGTGACGCAAAACCTAATTAAAAAATTACAACTTTGCGTACGAGAAAACGGACGTTTTGAACGATATCTTGACTGAAAATAATAAACTAAATTCAACGAAAGATACGCTGATTATTTTATTATCCTGTGTTTAATGTGTTTAATGTATTTTTCAATCGTATCCTGACGTAGCGTGTAGTCGTATCCTGATGTAATTTAGTAGTACCTCGAATATTTTTTTCAATTATTTCGTTCATCTCTCATTTGATTGTTTGTCACTGATAGATTGTATCGTTACGTTTCGAAATAATACTTGAATTTAAATATTTTTTTTTTTATATATATTTGGAGTTTATATTCGTATTTTAAACCTTGAATTTTCTGTTTCTTAAACCTCGATCGAAGCAGATTTATGGTAACGAAGGTAAACGTTTCCATATTGAACTATCGGTAATAAACGTTTAATACATTATTGATCTAAAGCTGGATCGTACAAAGATAAAATCGGACAAAATTAAACGAATTACTTTTTTTGAATATACACGTTAAATCGTTACCGTTACTTCAAATAATTTCGCCGTTTCAATCGGTATTTTAAATTAGAATTTTAAATAATTTGAGAAAATGTACTGTTTATACATTTTCTTCAATTTAATATAGGTTCGTTGAATCTCATTACGTTTAAACACAGAGTCGAATTTTTAATAATAACACGCTATTGTACTCCTTGTCTACAAAGTAGTCTAGTGATTTTTACGTCCTTGTCGTTGGTATTACTGTTTGACGCGCGAAGCAGCAGGTGTCGCCACCGTGATATAGCTTTACATAGGTGAAATGCGCAGAAAAGTGGAATGATGAATTAAATGTACTTTGATAAACGGGTTGGTTCGCGTTTTGTGAGAAACGAGTGCAAAAAGTGTTGTGTTAACCATAATTTTCGTTAATTTGGATCGTCCAATGATGAGGAAACTGTAAATATTCGTGAGCAAATGTTTCGCTTGTTGCATAGTTACCAAGGCGACTGGAGTGCATACGTATGCGTGTCGGAAATTGTGCTATGAAAAGAGAACGATCATTGAGGTAACGATTCCACGGCTATCTTCGTACCAACGGCAATTCCATGTTTCAAAAATTTGCGGCCTGAGAACAGGAATATTATGGACTATCCAGTTTTAGGTCATTACGACCCGTCCGTAGAAGCCTCGGCCGATAGCGGTGGCGACGAGCAAGAACTCCTTTGTAAGTTTCTCTTATATATCATTTTAACAGTCTTTTTTCTTTCAAAGGCGGCAAAATGCATTCAGTTGTATCGAAATGCGATTTTTTCGACTCAAGATTCGAAAATTCAGAAAGGCGCGAAATCTTCTTTTTGTGACATTTGTTATTTAAACCACGATGCACGATTTAGTTTTCTATTAGCCGTTAATATCGCGCAATATCTTTTATCTCGTTAATTTTGTCTGCCATGTGAATGACCTTGTTATTAAATATTCTTTTTCGCTCCGCTCTTCTCAAAGTGTGATTAGTTTCGATCAGCTGTTCGACTCGGAAAAATTCACGGGTTAGGTACGTGGTCTAAACCAACTGTGTCGTTGTTGTTTTCAACTGTGAAATTTCATCTCGTTCGTCGTACAGAGATGTTACAAGATTAATTGACGTCGATAATCAGTAATCTGTATTCATTGTTGAAACTAAAAGTTATGTTTGATGATTAGATTGATATTGAAGCAACATCAAGAATTTCCATTGTCAACGTTTTTTCTTATTTTTCGTTACAGGGGAAGAATCAAATTATGTTTTGTCCAACGACGAATATGTACCTGCAGCAGAGCAATTTGGAGAAGATTTTGCTGGAGCCGAGTTTCATGAAACTCGTACTTTACTCGCTGATGGAGGCGATAGATTTGGAGTTTCCACTGTCGCTTTTGACAATATTGAAGAACTTATGTGGATGGGGAATCAAGGGGTATTATAAGAGTTGTCGTTTAATCTGATAGATTATACATTTTTCTACTTTTATCATTTTCTTATATAATTTGAGTAATTATGTTGCTTCAATGATATCTAATAAAATATATTTGTGGAAGTTATCTGGCTATCGAAAGAGATTGATGAAGTAACATTTCAAATATTTATTGAAAATGCATTGACTAATAACAATGCTTCATAGGGTCATGTAACATCTTATTATGGGTCAGGTTTGCAAAAGTATACCTCGTTCCAAGTTCATGCCACTCAAGAAGTCAGACATATTCATCCGTTGGATGAAGGAATTTTAATCTTAACACAGAGCTTACTGAGATGTCAGTTGAGACGTGGTATACCAATATTCACACACATGTATGTTAATTTTGTAGTATTTGTTTTGACAGTTATGAACATTTTATGTAGAAATAAATAATTTTAGGTCATCGAATATGATAGATATGCAATGTATGTTGCAAATTTCACCAACAAGGTTACTTATGGGAGGTCATCAGGAAAAAATAATTGATTTTAATCTGACTAGAGGAAAAGAGACCGGATTAGTGAGTTTCTATGAATATTAATGAAATATCACAGACATGTATTATACAGGTATGTATTTGTACCATTGTGTTTGTATAGGTACACGTAGGTGAAAATGGTTGTGCAATTTTAAGGCAGCATAGCAGACTTATATGCTGTGGCAATCCTGCCGGAAGAATTGATCTCAGAGATCCAAATACGTTATCGATAGAGCACACTTTTGATACCCATAGTGGTTCTCTCAGTGACTTTGATGTTCAAGGAAATTATCTTGTTACCTGTGGTTTTAGTAACAGGTAAGATATAAAACATCATCATTAATAAATCATTAAAAACACTGCTGCAATTATTAAAGTTTTAATTTCTGGGCATTTAGTCGTCAGGGTTTATCAGTAGATCGATTCTTAATGGCATATGACTTAAGACAAATGAGAGCATTAAGCCCTGTTACAACCTTGGTATATCCTCTCTTATTGAAATTTCTACCCAGCTATTCCAGTCGTTTAGCTGTTGTAGCACCATTGGGACAAATGCAACTTCTTGATACTATCTATGCTAATGTACAGCCAGCCGTGACATGCTTGTATCAGGTAAATATAAATAATATTTGGAAGAAAAATGATCCTCAATTACATGATGTGTAATTACAAGTTTCCTTGCATTGGCAGGTTGCAACTGGCGGTGCAATGATATTATCGTTCGATGTATCTTCTACATCTCAATGTCTGTGCTTTGGAGATTCGGCAGGTTCTATACATCTTATGTCCACAAATACACCTGAGCCACAATTTAATACATTCTCTCGGTTGGTGAATTAAGCTAAATGGAAGAATTTCAGTTATTTAAAGTAATAAAATATAAAAAGAATTGTTCTACTATCGTTCATCCAGGCCAACTGAATTTGCTGATCCAGTTGATTCAATTCAATCTATATCGTTTGATGATGATGTCACGCCATTAAGTACAATACCAGTTGTTTATACTGGCCATCCATTGTTGAGCGATTGGCCAGAGGAATATTTAAAAAAAGTTTATAGGTAGGTAATAAGAATTTCAATAGAAAATCATAACTTCAAATTCGTTTTGTCTTTACAGGAAAACACCAACGATTGATCCTGAAATATTGCGTACAATGAAGATGCAAGGAACTATAGGTTATGCCCCAAATCCTCAGGCATTTCGCAGAAATCAAGTGAGGAAACAATATTCTCCTACTCTTCTACAATATTCTTCCCCAACTTTTCTAAAGCTCTCCTAAAAATCCGAATTTCCTGTTTTCCACTCACCCACCGATGATTCCTGTTTAAGAGTGTACAATTATGTTAGTTTTGATGTTTTACTTTCTTATTGCTAGTTATACTAGTTGAGATGGTAAAACAGAACGAATTATCGCTGCCGAACGTTGTAAATAATTTCCATTATCTTTAATTTATCTTTAATATAGTTTAAATTGATTTTGAGTTTGTTTACAATATACATATTTTGAATGATTATAATTGTACGTATTGGCGCACATATTTTCTTATAAATTGAATATTAATTACATTGTATATATTTTAAATCTTGATTGAGAATTGTAACTTCAATGGTATAAATTGATATACAATCAATCGGAACACACATTGATATTCAATCGGAATCGATATATCGTAAAAATTTGAGCTCCATTCGTTCGAAGCTTTTAATCTTTTAGAGAAACCAAAATGATACAATGTGATTTAAGACTGATAATATTTCGTGATAAATATCCATTAAACATTAAAAGATCGTGATATATTTTCATAAGCTAGTCTACAGTATTCTAATAATTTCTTCCGACGATGATATAAATGATAATAGAAATTGATGATAATATATATGAGAGAAAAAGACCTAAATAGGATATTGAACACGTGTATCGATAAAATATTCAAGTGCTTTTTTCCCCTTAATTTTAGTTAATATATTTTCCAATTATAATAATGCTGTTATATTTATAAACTTGAAAATATTTTTGATTAAAAATATTATACGATAAATGTAATTACCTTAAACTAGTATGTTATTCTAGGTTTTTATTATGCAATATAAACGTTAGTAACTCCGTTTTGAACTGAATTCCAAATTTTTGAAAACAAGTTTGTTTGAATATTTTTGTAAGGCTGGAAAACATTGACTTTTATTTTCACGTAGCACCTTAATGGTTGTACGAAAATGTTTATTATTGAGCAATGATTGCATCTCGATTCATCATCTTGATTCTTTGAAAAGCAGCAATAACTTTTCTACTGATCTTTTTATCAAGGCAATGGGCCAAACTACAAATTACGACGAATGTGTTTCAAAACGATGTACAGAGTGTGATGAACAATTATTTATTTGTGCATACGAACATCACACGTGATTCTACATTTTTTTGAATTGATGAAGATTTGTTAAGAAGGATTACGGCAAAATCAACATTCTTTTTTTCTTCAACATTGTTTTTTTGAAAAGAACAACGGTTGAGTTGCGACTTCATGTTTTCTTTTGCAGTTTCGTTTCTTGTGGCAAGTAGAATACGATGAGATAAAAGAAATTTGATCGTGAAATAATTTAAAGCCAAAATTAATTTTGCAGTAATTTTTTTTTACAAATCTCTACAGATTGAAACGTGTAAAATCACACTGTGTTGATTGTGATAAATAATTTTCATACAACTTGTACATACATGTTGCACTGCATAATTCGTTGTGATATATTTTGAAAAATTAATTAAAACACGTTCTTTATAGCTCTGGCCTTAATTTGAGTTTTGATCTATTTTCGAAACAAGCAATTAGGAATAAAAAGAAGAAGAACAACAACAACTATATCGTACGTAATTTGTGTGTTAGAAACTTCGTTGAGAAATATCGAGTTGCGAACATTTAAAAGATTAAAAATCCCAACTTGAATTTAAAATGTATTTAAATTAATTTCTTAGAGAATGTGCATTTATATTTATTCTCATACAATCCGAGCATTGCGATTTTTAATTTAGAGAATCATATCGTTGTTTGAAATGTCAAAGTCTTGCAAAATTAACACCAGCTACTATTTTTGATTTCGCATTAAAGTATAATGCGTTTATAATTGATCCCATTTCGTTCGAGTGGTTATTCTCGTTTAATGAGTATTTGTGCAAAATAATGAATAATTTTAGTATATCTAGTGCCTGTGTAGAATATATTTCTTCAAGAATGTAATAATCAAAGTGTTGTATTTGAGTGAAATAAAGGTTGTAAGACATACACGTAAGCCTAAGTTATTGGCTCGGCCCCACGCGTATTAAATAGGTATTATTTATTTTTTCACGATCCAAATCGCGTTCATACAGTATATCGTGATCTTAGTCGTAATATCCATTGTATAGCGGAAACACTCACCCTCGTATAATTCGCGTTGATAAACTGATCCCAAAGAACAAGAAGAAAAAAGAAAAAAAATAAGACATTCGACGTTTGATTGAAGAAAAATAAATAATACCTCTTTTGCAGATACCTTACAATTTGGAAAAACGACGGGGAGTAGTTGCGAAGCTTTTCGCGGGAGACTCACGGTCTAAAACAGACGACGGCACCTTTGTGGCCATACCTAAACGTTATCGTAAAATCGAGGTGAAATACTCACGTCTCGGTTACGATGAGTTTGATTTTGATCAGTATAATCGCACCAACTTCTGCGGTCTCGAAGCCACTCTTCCCAACAGTTATTGTAACGCTATGCTGCAGGTAAGTGCAATTCAGACAACACGATGAATAACAGAAAAGTCATATTCTTCTTTCAGGAAAACAAGCTCGCTTAATCAGATATATTAATACCTATCACGTATTTTCCAGTTACTTTATTATTGCGAACCTGTGAGAATAGCATTGCTCTCTCATTCCTGTCAAAGAGAATTCTGCCTGTCCTGCGAACTAGGATTCTTGTTTCATATGTTAGATACATCTCGAGGATTGCCTTGCCAGGCAGCCAATTTTCTTCGAGCTTTCCGAACGGTTCCCGAAGCAGCAGCCTTGGGACTTATACTTAGTGATCTCCATCCGGAAGCCAAGAGAAAAACGAATTTAATACGATTGATACAGGTGCGTTTCTAAATGCAAAACACGAATTACGTGTTTGAATATAACAACTTTTATCATAGAGGATGAAATGTCGCGCAAAGTTTACGGAGTATCACAGCTCAAAACTGTGTTTTGTGTTTGAAGAGCAACAAAACTTGTAAAGGTAACGAAATTTATTGATGAAGAATGGATGTAAGAAATCTTATTCTCAATAAATAATTTCAGTGACGAAAGATAAATACGTATGTTAGATGACTGAATTGGAGTTGTTTCACTCCCATCCGCGATGTACTTTTTTAATTCATTACAATCGAATTTTAATAAAGATATGATATATTGATTTGTGACTAGAAAAATTTATTTAATATATAGTAACGATATTATTTTTAAATTCTCTCTCGTAATCGCAAATTAAGTAAACTTATTACTTAATTCCTTAAACTTCCCTTCCGATTATCTTAAATCAAAAGTTGCAATTTCACGCAAGTAGATTTTTGACAGAAAAAAATTGCCGAACAATTGTCAGCTATGGTATTAATACTATTGAATTTCAGAGTTGGAATAGATTTATATTACACCAGATTCACTATGAAATTTTGGAAACAAGGAAACGTCAACAAGAGGAAGAGGAAGCTGCTAGGCTTAAATCAGGGCCCAAATGTCCACCGTTCGTTTATAATGAGCAGGATTTTCCTAGTATTTTACAAGACATTGGCTCTCGGTACAGAAGCCATGCAGAAGAAAGGAAAAAAAGGAGAAAGCAAGAGGAGGATGGTAAATATATGTGGATCACATCGAAAGGTAAACACAATTTATGTGTAACCTTTTTATTGGGCACTTTTTGTGTTTATTTTTCATTTTGTATGTGATTATTTGTTGCATGTACTAGATTACCATGGCGACAATATCCAAAGAATATAAAGAAAGTAGCCAATCCTACGCCTTTTGAAATATTTACTTTTGTTTATTTTTACATAAGAATTATGAGTACGTTTACATACGTATTCTTAGGATACAAAGATTGTCAGTTAATGGTTTTCTTTTTTATTGTACTAGGTTTACGAGGAAACTTTCTTAGCTCTTTGTTGAAACGTGTTATTTCAGTTTTATTTTCCGCAAATGCATGGCTTAGTTACAAAAATTCCATCCGTATTGGCATTGCTTTGATTTTCTATAAATTCACTCGACTTTTTATGTCATAGTTTCAAAAATAAATCATCACAGAGTATTTTAAATAGCTATACCGTTTTAAAAAACAAAAGAATGATAACAATGGATTGCCGATAAAAATAAATAAATAAAATAAATCTTCTGAAATATGTTTTTGTTCACTAAATATATAAATACTCATGAAATAAATTTATACTTAAGATTCGAATGTTTTTCTTTTTTTATAAATTTTCGTTACATGTTTTATCTTGAACATACTTTATATTAACATACGTTATAGATATTAGAAAACATACTTTATCTTAAATCTGCCAAAAAGAAAATTGAAAAAACTTAGACGAACATTTATTACAAATAGATAAAAACAGCAAGAAATCTATCGAAGAGAATGAAGTACGAGACGAAGAGACAGAGATCAGTCGTTTATTTGGATCTGAACAAATGCACATACACCGCTGTCTCAAATGTGGGCAAGAAGCTATGAAACATTCCATCATGTTGCTGTGTAACTTAGTTTATCCGGAATTAACACATCCTTGTAAGACATTATTTAAACTATATGCGTGTTGAATGTGTTCGTTAGATTATCGTTACGCAAAACGAATGAATTTTTATCCTTTGTAGCAGAGGAGGTTCCATTTACAAGTGTTCTTGCCCGCAGTTTAAAACCCGAGAAAATTACACCTGCATGGTGTGACAATTGTCAGAAATTTACACCCACTCTCCAATCTCGGCAATTGACTAAACTACCTCAAATATTGGCTCTGAACTGTGGTTTAGATACACAGCAGGTATGTACATCGAACACAACAATCTTATTCGTGTTTCAAAAATAACTTATATAATTTCGAAAATCCGCCAGTTACAACTGAAAGCAGTTGCAGATATTATTGAAATATTTTTTACTAATGTAATTTTAATTGTAAAAAATTATTTTTGCAATTAAAATTCTGGCTCTTTTAATATTTCATTATGTATACAACTGCTTTCTATAAATTAAATAGTTTAATAACTAATACTTCGTCAGAATTCTTTCACGATCACCTTTTAGACTATAAATATAATATCACAAGAGTCGGGATGATTTTTAACATTTTAAAATTACAATTATTGTACTTGTAGGATAAAGTGTTCTGGCAAGCACAAATGGATATAGTCGTTCAAAAAGTATTAAGTGGCAAGGAGAGTAGTCCGTCTTCGAGTCCTATTCCCATTACCGTGAAACCATGTCGGTACGGTAACAATTGTACTCGAATTGGCTGTAGATTCAGACACATTGGTAGAGATCCAGGTATTGCGATTTATTGTAGAATTTCTCAGAATTCTCATGGTTAACTAGTTATTTTAAAGTCTTTCTTACTTGAATTTTTTTGCTAGAAAATATATCAACGTCACCAGTTACTCCACCGACAGCGACTTCGACACCGGTCGCAACACCACCTAGTCACTTGTATTATTCTCATTCATGGATTCCACACAATATAGAGATCTCCTTGAATAGTAGCTGTGAGTTGTTCGTGGAGAAGATAAGTGTTCCAAAGAACGATTCTAACGAAAATAATAAGTCGACCAACGAGATCCTAGTAGAAAACGGTCAGAAGGCTGACAAGATACATGATTCTGAGATTACTGGAGAAGGAGAGAACGTAGCTGAAAATCATATTAACGCAAAACCAGATAACGATGAGAAGGACGAAAACAAAACTGATGAGAATTTGGATAAAGTTCAATATAGTCTTAGTGCTGTTGTTTGTTATATCGATGATAAGACTAATGAAGATAGGAGGAATATTGTTGCCTTGCTGCGAGTTGGACCAAATTTTCATGAACGATCGGCTGGTAGTGCGGTATCGCAGTGGTACATTTTTAACGATTTTTGGTACGTAAATATAATTCATTTTCTATATTGTGAGAAATTGTAAAATACTCGATGAAAAATCGTATCAGTGGTTTTATATACATGTAGAGAATTTTTAAAATTTTCCTATACGTACAAATCTTCTAAATTGCAATTTTATTTTCTCTAATTGTGTTTCAAGTTGCAATGAAAATACTTTTATTTCGTTTAGTATATCCGCAGTAACGCCGCAAGAAGCGGTATGGTTCAATCTTGATTGGAAGGTTCCGTGTGTCCTTCATTACACGGCTGTGCCTGCACCCGAACCATTACCGTTTGTCAGTCCGCTTACCTATGACGTATTTGGCGAAGATAAGTGCATTGCTCGCAGTGGGGGGACGAGGGGTATCACATTTACTCCATTAACGTCCGACGAAATGCCTAAAAAAGGTTTCAATCGAACATAATAAAACAAAAAAAAAAATAGAAACATTATTTAGATGCAAATAATATTGACAATTGATAAAATTATTTTTGTAGGTGAACTAGTTGGAATTGATGCAGAATTTGTAACGTTGAATCAGGAAGAGTCCGAGCTTCGAAGCGATGGAAAAATGTCCACCATAAAACCAAGTCATATGTCAGTTGCACGTATAACTTGTATACGTGGGTGTGTATAATTTTCATTTTCATTTGTTCCGTTGGTTTTAGTTATTCTCGTTCTGTTCATATTGGTATAGTTAATATAATTTTATAATTTCCTAAACAGCCAAGGTCCTTTGGAGGGAACTCCCTTCATTGATGATTATATAAGCACTCAAGAACAGGTAGTGGATTATTTGACAAAATTCAGTGGCATTCAGCCAGGTGATTTGGACGCAAACTTTAGTAGCAAACATTTGACCACTTTAAAGTCAACGTACCAAAAACTACGATTCCTCGTTGATAATGGAATCATGTTTGTTGGTCATGGACTGAAAAATGACTTTAGGTAATTACTCTAGTTTTCCTTTATTATATTAATTTTACACGTTTACATTTTTCTTCATGTTCGCACAGAGTGATAAATTTAGTCGTTCCACCGGAACAGATAGTAGATACAGTATTGTTGTTTCATTTACCCCATCATCGTATGGTATCGTTGCGTTTTCTTACGTGGCATTTTTTGGGTAAAAAAATTCAGTCGGAAACACATGATTCTGCAGAAGATGCCAGAGCTGCTCTCGAGTTGTATCGTAAATACAAAGAGTTAGAGAGTTCTGGTAAGCTGGCCGAATCACTAAAGGAGCTTTACAATATTGGCAACCAATTACAATGGAAAGTAAGGATAGTGGATTATTTAAAATATTCATTGTGTATCGATATTTTGATTGATTTGACTTTTTTTTTCAGGTTCCGGACAGCTGATATGAGGATGACTCTCAGGAAGAAATGCATGATTTAATTACGCGCAACGACAATGAAGTTTAGACGATGATTTTAAAGTATAATCGTAGATCAGTCGACGAATAAACTTCGAAAGACATCGTCTTTCACGGCGTCGATTCTTAAGCGATAGAATCGTACGTTTTTCCTGTTCAAAAAGAGTCCAATTATTCATACACAGATACTAGGAAAATTCCAAGATTAAATGCGGTAATGATGTTACGAGTTAATGATTACGGGTACAACTGCATTCTCATTCGTGTTTGGTATTTTCTTACCTCACGACACACTGGCGCGTGAGATCGTTGGATCTCAACTCAACTGTTATCCATTTCTTAGTTACGCTCTATTTGATCGAGATTGTTATAAATTATCACGCCAAAGTTTTAAAGAAAACAAAATTCCTTCCTGAGTGTAATTAATTTTTTTTTTTTTTTTTTTTGAAAGTATTAAAGCAAAATGTCTGGCATGTATTCAATGGTAATCGTATACATACATATTGTTCGATAGCAGATTAGCATTTTGAAGAGCAGTACCGATGCCACACTGCCTAAAACGAACATATTTACAAATATATTTAATTTCTTGATATATTCTAAATGGAGCATCTACACACATACATATAAGTTTATCTTGCTCGGTAAATCATTTTAACCCTTCACTGACTAGTTTCACTATTGAAGTTTGAAAACTAGTTCAGACTTTCGATATTTAAATGGAGTGAAAAATTATATCATTAAAAAGTTTATTTCTTGTACTTCAAATCGGTATACGAATATCTTACAATTATTGAAAGATTATTTACAAAAATAACAAAGAAATCATGCCATATGCCTGAAGTGCGTATGTTGCATCGCTGAAGGATTGCTAGTACTTGTATGTAATCGAAAATTAGTATTTTTAGTAATAATTCTGGAGAAGGTGTATCTATACGAGTCGTTTTTCATGATTTCCTTTTTTATACATATATTTTTTGAAATATTGACTTTTGTAATGTTTGTAATGTTTTGTCCAACGACAGCTCGCTAAAAAAGGAAGAAAATATGGAGACACATTTTTATAAGATTTACTTCATCTCCGTGGTAGATTTCATTTCGTCTCACGAATTTATGGAAGTCATTTTCGCTCGTTTGCAAAAAAACAAATCAATCATTGAAAGAACCACAAATTTTTCTAAAGATCCTTTTCTACTTTGAGGTTCTAGAAATGCAAAGAAAAATAATATTAAATGAAATGCGGTAGTATATTTTACAAAATAATTGTACTCATAGATTATTTTTGTATACATTTTATCAATGACAATGAAAAGCAAAGAGAAGAGTATGTGAGAGAGAGAGAGAGAGAGAGAGAGAGAGAGAGAGAGAGAGAGAAAGTAAGCGTGTGGAAAAATATTGTCAAAACCTATTGAAAGAAACGAGATTATCGAAACATATATATTTTTTTATATCTGGAACGATTTTCTTATAGTTTGTGCACGACGTAACTTACTTGTGTAATTGAAATCTAACGAAAAATGACATACAGCTGTCGTAGTAATAACATTGGAAATATGATGTTAATAGTAATCGTTTGTTTTGTTTATCACTGTTACGTCATTGTGATTTTTCTAATAAACGACATATGAAAAATTTATTCCTTCTTTCTGCTTATTCTACGACAAGTCTCTTGAGACAGCGTGCAAATTTGTTTGAAATAGAAAATGTCTTAAGAAGAAAAGATTAGATCTTCCCTGACATAATGTAAGATCACCACTATTGCTACTTGGTTTCGACAGAAGGATTCCACAGCATTGGTTCTTGTTAAAAAAACACATTAAATTTTCATGTAGTTTGTGATTAATGATTTTTTTTTCTTATTTAAAAATAAAATCATTCCTAATGTTAATATTATTAATTAATTGAAAAAAGATATATATATATATATATATATATACATATACACGTATCTTTTTTATTTAATATTACATCTTAAATCTGTATATACACAAGTCAGTTCCTACTTTTCCGTTTAACCAGGAATTCGTTTGCTCTCCACACAATTATTAATTTGTGTTAGGTAGTTACTTTCTAAACAGTTTCTAGTAATACAATTAATAATTTACAAGATTATAAACATACAGCCTTAGCTTCAATTTCACATTATGGCGCTCCATTATACATATACATATAATAATATAGAAATTTTAATAAATAATTGAAAATCTTCGTTCTCGAGAGAAAATCTTCTTTCTCGTTTTTTTAAAAAAAGAGAAATCAAAGACCAATGAAATTTTTATTGACGTGTAGCGAAGCATTTGAATTGGCTAAACGTTCGTTTAACGAAAAATAAAATTAATAAATTATTATTCTGAATATTCCATCAGGAGAGCTTGAATAATTATACCGTAGTATATTTACAATATAGAACCGAACATCTTTCTCTATAGTTAATTATAACTCCAACTATTCTGCAATTGTTCAAGTTCCAAGATATAACTAATATTTTTACAAATCTAGCAAATATTTTAAAATAAAAAAATCATATTCGCTTTTAACATGCAAGAAATATCTGCGTTTTCGGCCCTCACCGTCACGTATTTTGATCGATCATTTTGTAGTCGGTTGTCATCGGTTTAAGTAAGTTACAGGTAATTTAAAAAAAGTCACAATAATGATGATGATGATAATGATAACAAATGACAATGGTGATGATAATAACAATAATAATAATTAAAAGAGAAAGAAAGAACATCTCCTGACTAGAAACTTGCATAATCGAGCTGCAGGAGTTGAAAAGAGTATTCGATGGCAGTAGAAAATAATCGCAAAATCACTTCAGAACCTCTTTTACATCACATATCCGTTCGTACCTAGATGTATGTATATATCTAAGGAAGAAAAACTCGAGCAGTTTCCTCATTCTGGCCTGGAGATAAAGGCACTCGTGATTTTGTTAATTACAATAATCGTAATATTTATCTCGTTGCACGACACGGCACTGTATTATAGTTGGAATGAGCTACGATCCAGTCAGTGCGTAAATACGAGCCTCCCTCGCTCGTTCGTTCGTTTACATTGTATCGACGGTATTCGAAATGAATTGTATTTTCTTTTTTTTTTTTTAGTGATCGTCACCGTGTTGGAAATGACCATTCCTGTTCAATGGTTGCCTTTCTGGTGCATCGGACGGTCTATTCCTCTTAAAGAACCCACACTGTAAAAAAAAAAAAATAATAATAATAAAAATTAAGAAATATTTTAATTTGTAAAAGATGTACTTGCTTTCTTTTTCTTCTAGAAAATCTTAAAGATCTTTTGATTCTTCTAATAAAAAGTTTTCAGATTTAAAATTCAAATTAAATATTTTAAACAGCGAGAATAGAACGAGTATACATATGTTTCTAGAGAAAGAGAAAAAAGTCAGAGAAACCTCAATTGCAAACAAATTCTGATATCATCGTCAAGTACACCGTCTTAAGTAAACCCGCTTGATTTGCATAAACGAACCTTGTGCAGCAAGAAAATAAGCAGCAACAGGATGATCGTCCCAGCGCAGGCGGACAGTACCACAACCCACAGTGGAATAACATCCGGCACAGATGGTGTTATGCTTGGTTCGACATTCGTCTTAATTTCATGGCTTTTGATGACTTGCTCGGCAGGCGTGCCTATGAACGGTTGCTTGGTGACTCGAGCCACCAATTTGGTCGAAACTCTGACTTTTTCTTGAAGAGCGACCTTCTTCAGCGTTCTTGCGTCCACTCTGTATCTAGCTCCGATCCAAACTTCCTGGTCCTTTCTCAATGGTCCTAAAATACATTTGAGCATGACGCACTTGGCTGTATTGCAAGGATCGACCGATCCTTGCATTCTCGGATCATTTTCATAATCTTCTCCGTTGAATTCATTCTCTGGCGTCAGTGCATCGTTCTCCAGATCTCTTGGTATTCTGCGAAGCTTCTCGAACTTTTCAAAATCCTTAACGTTAACCATATCGGTTTCTCGCTTGAATCTCAAGCCTGCAGTGGGATTTGGAATCTTGCTCGATGCACCTGCTTCTTCGAGAGTTTCGCGATTCTCTCTTCCATAAGTTCTGCCAGCTGCTCTTCTATCTTCTGTTCTTCTCACCTCGTGCGTACTGGTATACCTAGACTCGTAGTTCTTTTCTATGTCACTAGCTTGGCTAGATTTCTCGTTCCAAGATTCACCAAAAACCTTCGTTTCATATTCGCCATTGGCTCCACCTGCCTGTAGGTAACTATGTGGATCTAACGTGTAAGTACTTTCCTCGGTATAAGTGAAGGAGCCTTGCAAAGGGAATCTGCGTCCGTCTTTAAGTACGATGAATCCTTTCCCCGTCGAATCGACTAGAAGTTCACCCTCTATCCTCAAGAATCTAATATCTCTAGGCTCTGTAGATTCAGAAGCATAGCTCTGTCCTCCGTAATGGTCTTGGAGAGGAAATATAGATCCATCCTGAAACTCGATATACTCCCTCCTGTCGGCAGAATTTCTGAATCTTCCCATAAACTGAACATAATGCCTGCCCTGTCTATTATACAGTTCATAACCAGTCGCTGATTTGGATAAGGATCCAAATAGTCGTTCCAGTTCCTGCATAGAACTGACATTACGCAGTTGAAATCCAAATTCGCCTCCTCGTACAGTCTCCTCTCGATCACCGGTGATCAAACCACCTTGAACTCTATGATGTTTCTCTTGCTCGAGCCTGTACTTTTCTTCGTCCAGCTTCCTCCGTTGTTCGTCTTGTTGTCTTCGTATCGCTTCTTCTTGTTGCCGTTTTCGTTCCCCTTCCTGCTGTCTTTTTAATTCCTCGTTCATCCTTCGTCGTTCTTCTTCCTGCCTTCTCTGATAATACAGTCGTTCTTGTTCCTCTCGCTGTCGCTGTGCAGCCATGTGTTGCTCCTTCTTTCTCTGATGCTCCAATCGAGCCTCCTCTTCACGTCGTTGTTGCGCCTGTTGCTCTTGGTATCTTTCATCGCTCTCGTTTGTATTAGAACCAAATCTATCTGATGAAAATGATCGAGCTTCAGATAATCTGGTTCTGTCCCAATCGTTCCAACTGTTTAAGGTTATAGAACGGTTCGCGTGTGATCCATAGTTTCCACGAGATTCGGAGTCTGGAACTCTGGTATTTAGAGTGTCACCGACACTAGAGCCGAAACTACCGCCCAAGGTTGTCATCTCTCCGTAATCACCGGACTCTGTATGAAAGAATACACCTCTATTGCCAGCGGTTAAATCACCCGCGTTAGAGCTGATCTCCGAGTTGTTTTGAGCGTAGGTCGTAATTAGGACGTCTGGTTTGTTTCCAGTGTCGAATCCTCGTTGCACGTTAATCGTTCTGCCTGATTGGGATTCGTTCAAGATCACTCCTGATGGATCTGAGTGATACGAATACAGCCTTTTACGTTGATCCAACTGTAATTGAAAAAAAGCACAAGAATATTTCTTTCCTATTGGAATTTTCTCGTTTCTGAATTTCAGATTATTCTTTTTATTTTGACATGAGAAATTGCATAGAATATTCAATATTCAAGAAATTTCTCAATATTCTCAATATGACATGCGATACGAACATGTGACATAATTGACACAACAATATCAAGTATATACGTACTTGGAAAGTACGTATTACAACAACGTAACCGTAAGCCGACGAAGATAGTAGTAAAGTAAAGTAATTTTGGAATAAACGTACCTTCAGACTAAGATAATTCGCATTGGCAGATTCACAGACGACAGGTCCAGATGTTTCCGGCTGTTCCAATAAGTACAACAACTCGTTTCCAGCCAACGTCTGAGCAGGCCAAATGAGAAAAGCCTCTGCCTCGACGACGTCCGACGGTCCCTGGTTCCGAATAGTATAATTGTGAGTCATAGCTGGTCCAAATTCTGCTTCCGCAGTGATATTCATCTCGCTGGTATAATTATCCGGATTGTAATACAAATCTTTCGGTTTACTTTCACCATCTATACGTAGATCGGTCTCGATCCAAATTGGCAATCTCAAAATATACGTATTGTCCTCGATGGTGTATGGGTTTTCAGGATTGGTTGTATTTACATTCATTTCGAATTCATAAATCGGCTTCATTCCGTGCGATGTGACTGGTTGCAACAACACTTTGAACTTGACCAAACCATGTTTCTGCAATGGATTGCCAATATCACAACGGAGAGTATTGTTATTCGATTGCTTGGGCGCCGAACATTGAACAGGCACACCCATTGTCTCGATCTTCTCCACTTTAATGTAATCGATACCAGCGGGTAGTTTCAAGTTGTATGTCGCTTCGAAAGCATCCTCTCCCATGTTCTGCACCAGTACGTCTAACTGGAGCCGTTTGCCAGAACCCAGCAGGTACTTCTGCACGTTCGACGTCACGTTCATCTGGAGATCCGGGATGCACACATTGTCGGAGCCGCAATTTTTCCTGATGGACAGAGAGTCCTTCCTGGACGTTGTCGAGCCAAGGATAGGGCGCAAAGGAATTCTAGGATCTCTCGTTCGAGTGTCTTCGTAACGTTCTTCGTCGAGACTCATTCGCATTTCGGCGTCTAGAGATGTAAGCTTGTCGCGAATATTTGGTGTCACGTATACCTATGAAAGACGAAAGTGATTCTTGGAAAATGGTAAATTTGATTTTCCAAGATACAGATAGAATTTTTTTAGCTAATCGCGAGAGAAAATGTACGTGTAATTTCATTTTTACGTTGCTCATAATACCTTTTCTCGCTGTATGATTCATACGGTGTATCATAGTTGCAGCGGTTGCAGCCATAGTTAGTAATTGTAGTAATTAGTAGATTGTAGATTAGTACGTGTACTATATCGGATAGTACAGTGATATAGAATTGTGAAATTTTTAAGCAAAAATTTTTCATAATCGAACGATCAAACTCTTCGACCAAGGATTAAATCATAAAAATATTCTTCGTGAAGTAAGAATGAGGTAAAATCGTTTGCACAAACCTGAACGGTGCGACAAAATTGCCGGTCGCGATCCACCATGATTGTCCGATTCATCGTGTTCTTCCCCTCGAGTTCTAAAAAGAACAACCTCGGGCTCTTGGTCTTTTTCACGTCAAGAACATACTGAATATTGAAATTATGCCTCGAGAAAACACCTTCTCCGTTATATTTGAAGCAAGCTCTCAACGGAAGACAAGTAACTCTATTCCCATCGGACAACGTGCAATTTCTATCATCCAAGGAGATTAATTTCGACTCCAAATCAAAGGAAACGTACGAGTCCATCTTGATGACGGGTCTAGATCTGTAGAATATAGCGGTGCCAGATTCATAGGCCCCCACTACTAAATCCGGATAAAGATTTCCATCGAGATCAAGACCACCGGCCACGGAAAATCCAAACGTGTCCACGGGTACGTCGAGATTCTCAGCGTAGATCACTTGGGAATATTTTTCGAGAACGCCGGTCGGCGAACCATGGTAGATGTACACGGCACCGTGACTACGTGGACCAGCGTAAGGAGCACCCACCACAAAGTCGCCATAACCGTCACGGTCGATGTCCCCTAGAGAGGCCAGTGACAAGCCGAATCGTCCGCGGTTACTTTCTCCGTCCCTGGACAACGATAAGCAATTATCGCGAATCGTGACAGTTCAACGATTCGTGCGTGCTCGAGTTTCATGTGCGTTGATTCTTAGGATCTTCGCTGGAATTGGCTCGAGATACAGGTAGCTCGAGATAGTTTTGTTCGGTAAATTTAAGTGGACTAGTGGAACAATGAGTGGAAAAACGAAAAATTTTGTAACAAATAGTACGAGTAAACTAATTTACGGCCAAACTAACAACTAGATTTTTGTAATTGATATTAATATAATTTCGATTGATATAATTGGCTGATTGATGAAAGTTTTTACGAAATTAAAAATAAAATATCTAAAGTTAGAATAAATTATCTCCTTATGAAATTAATTAATTTTTATAAAACAGAAGAATTGAACACAAGTTGCTCAGATCAGTCGTATTGATCGATTGACTAATATACTAGGAAATACAAACTAGGAAAGCATAAACTAGGAAATACAAACTAGGAAAGCATAAACTAGGAAATACAAAAGATTGAATGTTACAACTTTTGAAGAGTTTCCTTCAAATTTACGTAATTTGTTACTTTCTTGTAATAAATAAACAAACATATGGAAGTAAATAATTCGTTTTTTAAAAAAATTCAATACCAATCACTCATCATTCAAATGATAAAATTGACAAGGAAGGCAGTTGAAGGAAGCAGAGTTGTTCAGTTCGGCTTTTAAAAGTTAGAAATGGTAATACAACAGGAATGATTTTAAGCTAACGTCGTTTAAAATTTTTCAGTGTTATCGTAGTGATGTCGTCAAACGTTTGGTCAAAAAAAGAGTATACTACCAATTGTAAGTGCAATAGTAATGAGAGGAGAGAATACCTAGAATCGACTTTGCGGAATTTCTCAGGCCCAACGCCTTGATAGATCACGTACACTCTTCCGGTCTCGATGGTCATTTCCGGGTTATCTGGTATCGTGTACATAGGCGCACCAACTAGAAGATCGTCCAACCCATCGCCATCGATATCGCCGGAAGCAACAGCGTAACCGAAGTATGCTCCCATTTGCTCTCCTGTGATGTTACGAGGATTCGTCATGTCCGAGGTAAAGAGGATAACCTGTAACGAAATTTTTCATCAATTTTTAATCGGAGCTGACTACATATTTCAAAAATATAAAATTTAAAAAGAAATAGCCGACACAGAGTAACACAGATATATATTTTTATATTTTTTCATTAATATTTTTCTCTCCCATTGTTTTTACTTGTTCATTCTACATAACTAGATGTTACATAATTTATTTCTTAACGTAGTAATTTCGTTTGTTTATTTTATATACGTTATAAATGTATACACAGCAATTGAATGTTAAAATATGAAAATAAATGTAATCAAATAATATAAGTCGATTGAAAAGAATAGCGAATAAAATGTTATATCAAGGCAATATCATTCCTCGATTCAGGCTTTGTCTCAAGAAAGTGGCAAACAAACGATCTTTCTCGATAGGTCACTTTCTCTGAGAAACAGGAAATAATTTTCGACGCTGCGACTTCTTCTTTTTTTTTTTTTTTTTTTTCGAATTACCGCGTTATAATGCTTTGTGTACTATGAGCATACTTTGCCGAGAAGATCGGAGCCACGAGGTACGCCGACGGCGGTGCCGCTGTCACCGTTTCCAATAAAATCTCCGGTCGTGACAGAGTAACCCATGTAACTATCGTCTTCAGTGGCCGGACCTTCCTTCGTGAACATTATTCTTGCCCGGCTGTTCAATGGCTGTGAAAATGCCTGGCCTGTAAAGTAAGCGATGAAGTCAATCACCAAGTAATATACATATCTTCGATTTTAAATATATACTTTCCCAGACACGCTTGTTTTCTGACTACGATCCAGAAGAACACATGCCGACGCAGAATTGAATTTCATATTTGCGAAAAAATATCGATATAGAATGGTTGATCGTAACACGCGAAAGAATTATATTGCCGAGAAATATATATCAGTTTGTATGCACGTGGGTACGTAATGTGTATGTGTACGTGTATGCGTACAGGTAAATACAGTTTAACGAGAGATTAGCTACATTTCATGATTGAAAGAAACATTTGGATGAAAGTACAGGTGTATGAATAATAAAAACTCTTATACATCAGTGAAATAAAGTGAAACGGTATAAAAGTACAAATTACTCAAATGCATAATTTATCTAATTGGGTAATCAATTCCGAGTAATTTTGAGATTAATACTAGATTCGAAATCAGAATAAAAATTTGAGAATCGTGATCGTAATCAGAAAATGTTGATGATAATAGATGGTGGCAAAGCAACGCCTTACTGATTAATCTAGCTCTTCTAAGCGCACTTCTTTCAACAACAAATGTCTTTGACATTTATTCTGATGATTTTTAGCTACTGCTAGGCAACTGCAACTAAATTACAGCGTCCAACTAAACTTTCTTAGGTTTAAGTAAAAAATTATCGTTTTTACTACAGGCTGGTTTCATATTATTACATATTATTTTCTGGCTGCAACGCGAAGCTGCGAAAAAGAAGCTGACCTGCACCTGTTAAATACTGCCACCCTTGTCTCACCTGGCAGTAATTAATAAGTAATCATAGCATTAATCATCACGGTGCATTAATCATCAACTGGATATTAATCACTGGAAGGGAGGAGCTTCATAGGCTTTACAAGGCCTTAAACTGTCAAGCATGCAAGATTGTTAACTCTATGTCAATAGCCGACTAATATAAAATAATATAAAATAAAGAATCCTCTTTGTTGTTTCCAGCCTTTTCCCCCCTTTGTTTATTTAACGTCTATGATTTATGATTTAACGTGACAGTTCGTTCAAATTATTAATTACAGTCATCGGGTTTCACGCGAGTGGAAGCCATATTGGACATGGAATTACTGGAAAATTCATTATTATTTGCGATCAAGCAAACGGGGAAGGAATACGAATGTCGTGATGTCACGAGTATCATTTCGAATTGATTGTATATATACGCTATCGATGTGTACATCGACATGTTTTTCTTTGTACATTGACATATTTTTCGCAGCGTATGAAGCGTATGAAGCCAGGGGAGTGTCGATGGATATCTCTGATTTGCTTTTCAAAATTCATATTGAATCTCTCTCTCTCTCTCTCTCTCTCTCTCTCCAAAGATAGAATATTTCACTCCGCCATATGCTGGAAAGTAGTTCAGGAAACTGAGAATACTCGGTATGAGAAGGTCAGTCGTCTAGCGTGAAGCAATGTTTGTTAATGGACACTGCCGTTAAAAAAAGATTAGAAGTGTTTAAAACAAGGGTACTGGTTTTAAACGACATGTCCTTGTCTTTCGTTTGATTAGAGGGGGAAGAAACGGCTGCAAGTACGCGATACCTGATGCATCTGCTTCGGGCGTGACAAACATCGTCGCTAAGAACTCCAATCTCATAGCGGTGCTGATCGAGTATATCTGACCTGGAATCGTTCAACGAAAGCTTCTAAATCACTTCAAATATCCACAGAAGAGCACGTGTAGCTGCGATGTGCAAGTATGTGTTGCTGTATCATCGATCAGGCGTTAAGAAAGTACGAGTTTCGTTTCTTTTTCTTTTCTTTTTTTTCCATGCTTTAATTAGCAGCCCAATAACTGTTCATCGTATAATTGGTGATAAATGGGAATTTAATTTTACCGATTGGATTTTTGCGCGAGAATTTTTTACAAGCCCAATTAGCTTACAGATATTTGAAAAATTTATCGACTGAAGTCTATATTTTCATGTATATTTCCATTTTTACGTAGAATTTGAATTCCATTGATTGTTAAAATTTTGTAATAAAAGTTGTAACTGAGAATGTTTTACTTTAGGTGCAGTGATATCATTTAAGTAAATAAATATAAATAATTTTTAATTCTGTTCTTTTTCTGTTTTTTTCTGTTTTCTTTTGTATCGAATATCCGATATTCGATGAAATACTGTAGAGACCGAAGTAAAATTAATACGTGTATTTACAAGTGGCAAAGCAAGAATATTGACTGTGAAATTGTCAACCTAAATTGAACTATGGAAGCGTGAACTTGTTTCCAAAAAGAACCTTACCTTGCCAGTACCAACTTCCTGGCGCCCCAATGAACAGCCTCTCACCGTTCTGAAAGAATAATAATAGATAATAATAATAAAATAATAATAATAATATCAACAACGACAACAACAACAACAACAACAACAACAATAACAGTAACAGAAAGTCATATTATTGAAGAAATTGATCAACGTCAAATAATTAATTACACGAAGCATTTTGCAATATGTTTCCTTTTCCCTTTTACCTTCATCTTCTACCTTCCTTCTGATATTTCTTTTATATATATATATATATATATATATATATATATATGGAAAGATTTACAAAACTATCATATAAAGCAATGCGATTGGCGCAGTAAATAGACTTAAATAGGCTTAAAATAAATTAAAAATATTTCTCTTATTGGGGCGTTTGTTCGATCGAAACAATAATTTTCCTTATAAATTCAAACAAACATTGATAAAACAACACTCCTCAGCTACAGTTATACACAGGCTTCTCTCGTCCGATGCTCTCTCGATTGTGCACTTAACTTCGATCGGCGCATGAATTACTCGAGTGCCACTCGAAATAATCGACATACCTCTGCATCGCGGACGAACTTTCTTATTTTGGAGCGTTCCCATGGATCAAACGCAGACAAATTTTCTCGTTTGACGTAGATCGACCATCCGGAATCCGAAAAACGGAACAGATGAATTTTTATTCGTACGCACATTAGTTTCAGTGGAGTTCCTAGACTCCTGAAGAATCCGATTGCTGTGCTGGCAATAAGCAAGGAAGAATTTCATTTTAGAGAATGCTCCGAATTTAGAGACAAGTGTATAATTTTGTCTGTCGGAAAAAAGGTAAAAACCCAGGCGGTCGATGAAAACCCAACAGAGAAAAAGAACAGAGTTAAACATTTAGGTTAGCAATGCGGAACGAAATGATATTTCTAGAACCAAGAAATTAAAATGCAAAAATGTGACAGCGTCACGAGCGGGTTGCCCGATTCCGTTGCAACACGGCAATGGCCGTGTCTAGTTTCGTTTTACTCTGCTTATCATGAGAAATGGCGATCGTTTGTAAAACAATGCAGCCGCTGCACGAGGACGAGCTGCAGCACGTAGGTGGCCTTCTCGCAAATGCTGGCCGACGGTGAACACGGTGACAGAACGAAATGTCCGGGCCTTAAATGGCCACCTGAGTCTCCCCCGTCGTTTCTATTTCTACTTACCGCTGCCGCGTGTCGTTGTTTTTCCTTTTTTCCTTCCATCTGATTCTCTCTTTTTCCAGAATGCTGTGTGTTACGCGATTCCAACAAACCGCATACCACTTCCACGTCACTCGCCTTTTCACTCGTCAATTGATCACTTTCAGAGTTTTAACACATTGTTCGCTTATTTAAGATCATAATGATCGAAAAACATGTTGAGAAATTTTTCCGAAAAATGTTATATTTAATTTGAAGTACACAAGGAAGTGAAGAAGAAAAGTATAGTCTAGTCTATCAGTTTGTCAAGAGGAGAAAAAAAGAAGGAAAAAATGTTTCTCTTTTATATTCTACAACGTGGACTTTTATAATTGGTGCAGTTTGCCTTGAGAAATTGAGAAACCAAAGTTTTAAACTTATCTATCAGGATTTACATTATACATTACACTCTTTTCTTTAAGTATCATATATCTTCCCTTTTTCTACCGTTTTTTATTCTTCTTTTTTTTTTCTAGTTAGACCGTCACGGACTAATGTTGGATTTATATCGACTAAAATTCTTCGAAGCTGAACACATTTCAAATCATTCAGGCACGATCGTAACCCATTCGATTTCCAGTCGAAGCAAAAAACGCGGCTATGACATAAGCTTCTCGATACTATCGGCGAGGCATCTTTATTGCGTCTTTAGTGCATACAGCCGGTCTCTTTTCTCTTTGCATGCATCCTAGTGGCGCCAGCCCGTGTGGTGCTTGCTAAATTTTTGGGGCCGATTTTATTTGTCATTCCGTTGCACGGAAATGCTATGTATTATTATTTGCGAGTCTACACGCTCGATTTGCACGCTGCGCGAACAATGGGCCCGCCCTATCAACCAACGATGTCACATCTCGCCATCGAATCGTGTGCATGCTGCGTGCAACAATAAACAAATAACGTGTCTTGTATGTTTCGCCGTTTGATCCAAGCTATGAGCATAGGCAATAGTCGATAACAGAATAGTCGATAGGCAATAGTCTTTTAACTTTTTAGCAATTCCAACTAGCCGCAGCTCTGTTTTTACACGTTAGTAGACTCAGCGCTACGTGACTTTATCGAAACTAGTCATACTTCGATTAGTCCCGCATTCAAAAGTCTCAGATAATATAAGCACGAGCAATAAGAACTGAAGTACAGAAGCCTGTTAAAAAGTCTGTGAAATGTTGACAGAGCGTTCAAGTTGACGATTATAGAAAGAAAGAACGTGTCTTTTCACAGAATCAAGCAAGTTTTATAAATTTCGTGTAAGTTCTTTTCTGAGAGATGATTTATATATAATCATGATAATATTTACAATCATATTAAATGTTACAGTCGTTTCCCACGCATTTCTATTATGAAACTTTTACAATAAAATACAATACGAGAAGGTAAAATTTTTCGTTTAAGTAAAATGTGTTTAATCCTTGGCTATAGACTCAAATCTTTAAAATCAGGTTTGAATTATTTCTTTCATTATTACAATTTAACGGAAAATGGAAGCTTTCACATTTTGAATAGCTTTAATTCTGATAGAAGGTAAAAGGTAAAAGGTAAAAGGTTTAAAATATTCAAACATTATATAGAATAAAATTGCCGAGTTGTACAAAATTTGTAACTGCTGTGCTCCTGTATATTGCTTTAACAGCGGAGATATTAGCGAACCGGTAGCCAAGCAAATACGTGCATTTGTCGAGCGAACTCGTACGACACGGTTGAACACAGAAGCTAAGCTGTTCGATGGCGTACAGACGCTCGAAGCTGAAAGGAAGAAAAGAACCGACACGATGTACCCCCTACAGAGTAGCGCTGGCTCGATGCTTCTACACGCGAAAAATTTGCAACCAAGACAATGGCGGCCGTATCCCTGGACTCTCTCTATACGAAACACGATCGGCACGAGTTGTATTCTGGCGCCGATACTGGCTATCCAAGATTGAAATATAACCGGTCGCTCAAATATGTATGAGAGCATTCTGGAATTTATGCCGCCGTTTCGATCTATTTATGTGCACGTCTGAAACTGTAGTGGACCAGCCAATCGTTCTCCCAACGATTTGGTATTCATAATATGTAGTTTGCTATAAACGAACATGCGGAAGCTTTTCCTCGACTTTTTCTTCTTCGACGCTACAATTATCAGAATTCCCATGCCCATCATCAATATCATTTCTCAATGACATTTCCTATTCCTTGCATTCACTTGTATTTCTTTGATAGAAATTTTATAATTTAATGATTGGTAGCAGTTGAATGCAGTTAAATTAGTAACAAAAGCCAAATGGAAAAATGACTTCAAATCTGACACACACTCTATCTCAAAACATGAATCGCCAGCAAAGGTCAAACGAGAAACATATTCTACTACCTGAATTGGAAGATCGAGAATGAATGGCCGTGAAAGATAAATTTCTACTGAATTCGATCTAAAATTCGATTTTCTTGGATCTGGAATACTCTAAGAGATTTTACAAAAGGATCTCCCCAGAGCTGGTTTCGTGGAGAGTGAAACGTGTCCATCGAAAAAGAGGATCAATGACTACGACTTCCGTATCGTATAGAACGGTATCTGGCAGATATCAATCGATCTTGACTAGATTCCCTGTAGATCAGGGGAACTGCGCGCGCGCAACAGAGATATATGGATATCAGGAGCGATACTTTAACGCAAAGATCGATGGTCGATTGCATATCGAACAAGTCGAACTGCCTTCTAAATCACTGGTCTCCAGAGTCTTTAGTAAACTGTGCGACTCTTTTAGCGGTTACTACGGTTACTGCGTAATAAGCATCCAACAGTTTTAAAGAAAAAAGAAAAAAAAAAGAGAAAAACTTGTTCCAGTGACTTTAACAATGGATGAAAATAAATATGCTTGATTAGCTAAAAATCTCTATCATCTTACGTTTCCAACTATTAGTAATCTAAAGCTTTTTTCCTTACATAAGAATCTCGTTAAATTGAATCTCGAAACTTCTTACGCGATTTCACGAAGATGAACGATGCACATCATTCTTTTGAAGTTGAGCATTCTGTTAGAGCATTCGTTAGAGGTAATCAGTTATTGGATTCGCTATGCGAGAAAACGATGAATAGAAATCGAAGGGAACGCAAGCGCCAGGGTTAAAGAGTTTGGCATTAAGAGTTGGGATAAGGATTCGGTAGGATCGAGGAAGAGAATCGAATTTGCCTAGAATCATTGCTGCAGCGTCGTTTCACGTGGTTGATTCGCAAATCGTGAGTAAAAGGTACGATTGACCGCTCGTACCGCGGGGGTGAGGTATTAACATTGAATGCCGAGGCCAACTTAAAGCACGAACCACGGCATGCATTAAACATCTGAGCCATATAGACGGACAATTCTGAATTATACAACCACGATGAGATAGCCAACTGAATGACCGCGGAATTGCACCACTATTTCTTTGCCGGCAATCGAAACTGTCCGACTGCGCCGATAACGCCGCTCGCAACGTGTCGATTCCAACCCCGCGTCACCGGAAATCGGTGGCAGATTAGATCGATAGACACTGGGTCGATTCCGCGACAAGAAAACATATATTAAGGAGAAACGTGCTCGAAAAGTTGAAGGAGATTGGTTGATATTAACAAAGGAAGGAAAGCGAACAAATGCTTTTCGAATATTGCATTACGTATAAAATAAACTACGATGCCGCTTTTTTTTTTAATTTGATATGATTGATGACTCAAAGACAAAATCAGCAACCGATTCATCATTCCAGCAGATATGGTTAGACTGTTAAACCACTAAACCAAAGCACGAAAGTTTTCTTCGAAAGTACAAGTGTAACTTTCAACGAGTAAAATTGACTCATTCTGAAAAGCGATCTCCGACTTCTCGCAATCTTCTCGTTCTTCGTACGTTTCACGTATAAAACACCAGCAGACCAACACTGTATCATTCCTTTCCGTAGCCGAGAATCTCAAGAGATAACCCGCTGACATACCAATTTCGAATACGTGATACTATTGGCCCGGCGTGGCGATATTTATCGCAATACTGGCCACGAAGAAGGTATCACCGTAGATGCAGGTGCAACGGACAAACGTGTTGCAACGCATTGCGCGCACGAGCCGATCGTCGGCAAAATCCAGTGAAAAGGGAAGAGAAAGAGAGAGAGAGAGAGAGAGAAAGGCACAGGTCAACGCCTACGTAGTGTGTTGGGCCGATCAGTTGCAGAGATCTGGCAACAAGGGCCTGAAAATCGAGCTTTCGACAAAACAATCGTATATAGAAAGGAAGAGAAAGAGGAAAAAAAACCAAGATAGACAGAGGCCGGCTTCCTATACTCTCGCACATGCACCACGAATACGAATGGCCACGCTCAGAGGTGCGTAAAGCAGGAATTCACATTCCTGGCCATATTCGGCTGTTCTTGGCCGACTCCCTCGTGTCGCCTCTTAACTCTTTCGGGACGTGGCAACCGTCAGGACACGTGGGGTTACCGTATTTATATCCGACGATCCTCTGTGTTTACGCCAGTGACTTAAACAGTTAGAGATCGTAGGGGGAAAGAACAGCCTCGTCAAGGGAAAGCCTCGTATTTGAACTCGCTCGTCGACTTGAACTTCAATTTCGAAAAGTGAATTTTAATCCTCTTTCAACCGTGTCTTGTCCTTTCGCTTGGTTCTGATTTGTAAACCTACTCTATGATATTTTTCGATGAATGTTTCTAGAGTTGCGTGTATATATGTATGTATATACATACATTGGTATTCCGGTCGAAGAGAAGTTGACGATGGACGAAATCTTGAAACTTGTGAAGATGCCTTCGTGATATTATATAACGACAGTCAGAGTTTTAACAAAGTTTAATAAATAGTTAATTTATATTGTTAAATGTTATTAAGTTAGTTGTGTTGTTGTTGTTGTTATGATTAAATATTAAATATTGTTAGAGGAATATTATTGCAATTGTAAACAACAGTCTAACTGTAACTCATAGATATACAATGAAATGATTGAAACTTTCAATAAAATCCGTTAATATGTCAAATTAATATTATATTATCAATATTTCTGTCATTAGACACATATTTACATATTTACTAAAATATTATATAGTCGTAGAATTTTTTTCTTTAGACTTACCTTAGACATGGCAGCACCCAATCCAGCTTGACACGAACCCTGCCTGTGGTATCCCCAGTACCCTGAAACGGAAGCACGCAATTATATAGCGTTGTTCTTCCTTATTACAAACAGAGACGTCATATCTTCATCGTTTCGTTTGCACGGACCCTTGTCCATGCACTGACAATGAGTATCCGCAATAATTGGGAACGTTCTTCGAATTGACCCTCCTGATCATTTCACGCATAATTACATTCGACAAATGGAAGATTACTTCAAGATTGTTTAATCTGTTGCCGTGATGTCTATTGCAGCGACGCTCTTTACTGCCTAAAATTCGACTTGATGATTTATCTTGCCAAGGAAAATGAAAAATTTAACGTTTTCACGATCCTTTGGAAGATTCATCGCTGCGGAAACGATTAATCTCGACTCCTGATATCAGCATTAATAAACTGGTCGCACTCAAACACGTCAAAGTAGCCTCAATTGCAATGTAGGTGCTTAATCGTGACAACAAGTTGTCGTTAATCGACAGTCTGCCATTATTAGTCAACTCATCATTTTGCTGTTACATCCATTCTTCCTTTCAGTTAATTGAGATTGCGTCCATGTATCTGTGATTGCTGTCGTTAAATGGAATTAATGATTTACCAATGGACGAAGGAAAATGTTTACAGCGTCGTTTTCAAATTTTTCTACTCGGTTCTCCAATCTTTCTCTGTAAGTCAACGATGAGTTGTTTCCATCACAGGGAAAGAGTTATAGTTGTTTACAAATTTGCGAAAGTGGAAAATAGGACGAAGAGATAGAGAGTATTTGGAAATGGAGATGTAGCTAATACTTTTGAAAAAAAAAATAACTTGATTGCGTAGTAATATATGTACCACGGTAAATTTTCATGACACGATGATTTACTTCTTGCATTTCTTAATACGTTTTTTATCTATTCGATTTGAATTTAATTCACTGCATGAATAAATAACGCATTTCATGAATTAAATATTGGCTCTTAGCAATTGCTAAGAAATACACATATTTACGGTGTACATACATACATTTACGACGTATGATCAACTTTTTTGAAATTATACATACATATATATATATATATATATATATATATATATATATATATATATATATATATATATATATATACATGCATATGTACGTATACACACATAAATATTCGAATCTTTTTGCTCGCTTGGCTTGTGTGCGATTTGACTATCAAAGCATAACGTTCAATTTATGACTGAACAGCTTTTGATAATTTGCGATAAGATTCTTAATAACAACTGTCTAAACTACTTGTAATTTTAAATCAACCCATTCTTTCTAATGTATTCTTTATGTATATATGTATATATAATAAAAGAAATCTATGCCAATGTATGTAAATGAATAGTTAAAAATACTCGGAAGTTTATATCATATAAAATAGTCATTATCCAGAAACAAAATTATGTCAAATCAAGCAAAACCCTATATCACGGACACTCGAGTCAACTTGACCGATTCCTCAATCTGGTACATGTGAGTTTGCAGTTTCTTTATTTGAGTCATTTGAATGGCCGAAATCAAAGTTGTGTTCGCCTAGCAAATCATAATCACTTTAATCGAACTCATGGCCCAACGGACACTCAGAGGTCAGTAAGAAAACGACGAATATGTGGGAGAACATCCGGTGGGATCCACGAGCGTGCAGTTGGAGTAGACATACACACGTATCTACAAGTGCTGTGTGTGTAATGTATAACAATGTATATACATGTGTTACGAAAGCGATGAGAAGGGGTTGTGACTGTCAATCGGTCACGTTAGACGAGCTGCCAGTCACGCAATTATGTGTACATACATCGGTAGTCGACGACCGATCTGGCCGTGTTGAGTAGGGAAAAAAACGAAAGCTGAAAGCGCGCGCGCCGTTTCTTCATGTGCATGCGAATAACTCCCATGCCGTCCCATGCAAAAGATCGCCCTTTAACATCGTACTCTAAGAGACCTCCGTTTCTGATCTACCTATCTACCTACATCGTTAGTATTGCCATTTTAAGATCGATGTGCGAGAGGAACGATATTACGGAAAAGTCTTTTCGTATTTAAATTATCTTAGTTTTTTATAAGCACAAGTATCGGATAGATTTGTAGCATTCGATAAATATATCGGCAAATTTAATAATAATTCAAAAATTCTTCCGATCAAGTACGAGTATTATAATTTAAAATTTTCGATCAAATTAATAATTTAAGGAAAGAATCTTACACAGAACTTCGATATACGTGTAAAATAAACTTTCGTGAATTTATTTCTTCGCTTAACAAACTTTCTTCTTTTTTTTTTTTTTACCGGAGACTACTTAAAAAAGAAGTTAGGTAGTTGTAATTGTAGTACGAGGTAACAAAAGACAGATTCAATTGGATGATGTCGTTGTCGGTCGCTCTATTTATGATCTTTCGTGTTTGCGAGGTACTATTCTTGTCGGTAACAGAATGCTTCACACTCAGACTGACTCTATGCTATGAAACTGTTTTCACGAAGAAAATTATCCGAACAGAAAGTGAACAAATGAATTGTAACTCTCACCTATCTTTAAACATTCTATCCCTTTTGTTGCGTGCTAGATATAGACAAAATACAAATTGTAAGTATAAATTATGCACTACTGTAATATCGTGAACATATTAAACAAATTAAAGATCGCTCGATAAAAATAATTTTATTTGTGAAAGTATTAATTTATAATTTTAAAGGATAAAAGTAAAACGATACTATGAAAGTGTTTGTACGTCTACATACGACATTTAGTCGAGTTGCACGAAATGAATGGAGCTACTGTAATTCTGATTCTGTACAAGTGTGTGAGTGTGTCGACGAACGATTAACTGTATATTTTCCAATAATAAAAAAAGAGGAGGGGGGAAGAGAAAGAGGAGGGAGAATTTAAAGATAGACTCTCAAACTCTTTCAAAGTTCACTTTAAAAATCTCAACGATGACCATAAGCAACGTCATTTCCAATCGTTGTAAAATTTATTAGAAAAAAAGAAACAAAAAAAAAAAAGCAAAGACGAAATTACATTTCTATCCAAAGAACTAAGCGATAAGAAAATCGGCGTGAAACAGATGAAACATTGTAAAAGTTTATCTCCGAAATAATATTAAACGCCTGTTGAACGCGAGTGCAAGCAGCGATGAAATAAGACTAACTTATTGCAACGCGAGGAATTCAAAAGCTTATCCTTAATATTCAATCAAGTCAGGACAAAGTAGCTTGACCAAGTAAATTTTTATTCATTGTCGCGAATAACAGCAACAGATAGAATAATAGTTCAAAGAATCCATCATGAAGCTGCTGAAACGCGATCGACGTAATTGTAATCCAAGCAAGACCAAGTACTTTGTACAAGAAATGTGTTAATTTAGTCCGAGGGAATGGCGCTTTTCAATTATGATTTCGCATTAATCATTGTAATCAGAAATATGTCAATCGACTACGAAATTGATACTAGAATTTCTACTAAAAATTTGCTTAATTTTTATTCTGATGATAGCAAGTTTGTTCGAACTCAAATATGAGCCAATTTCCACGAATGTTGTTCTCATCGATAAGAAGCGATGACATGGACGATCTCATATGCTATTTTGCAATTCCTTTGTCATCTTTGACGAATGATCGACAAAATCAACGAAAAATAATCTTGCTCGGTGAAAAGTCAACCATATACCTATTGCAATTGTAACTTTGTCATCAAAGAACGGGAATCAGTCAGTGAAACGGTTGTTTAATGCACAATTGGAAAACTAAACGTTCGAAAGTAAATTATACCTAGTACTTATGTGGTAAAGCATTGCAAACAGCAACTGGCAACCGGTCGTACGACAGCGAAGATTAGAAACAAACATATGGCGACTTACACTCAGAAAAGGCGAATAACGAGCAAAAGTCTAAATAGAGAGACAAGCTAGAGCATCGTTTCATAAGCGATCTAATTGTTGAGAACTTGTCTTACGATTCACAGGAAAAGCGACAGCAAACGTTCGTTCGCCTGCCCGCCACAAATTGTTTAATTGCTTAACTCTTGCTGTGGAATTTCTCGACGATGAGCTCACACGTCTGCGATACATGGCGCTTCCGCAAGGATATTGGAATTTTTTCATCAACAATAACGAATAACTGCATAAACGTGTTTCTTTTTTTTTGTTTTTTCATTGATACTCTGATACGAGAATGAAAGAACAGAAGGAGTAAAATTACATACATACGTAAGTACATGTGCGTCACGAATAATAATACTTGTTGCATCATAGGAATATTTTCAATATTACACATGTTTCTTATGTTTGATGAGTCAATACTTGCATAATATTGACACCTCTCATCTTTTTTCTTTATCACAAGTACTTCTTACAAATTCACTGTTCAAAAACTATATTGATCATAATTGCTTATGCAATTGAATCATTTGTTTCTTGAATAGTGGATTTACGTTAATCGTATGTATATTTGACAACTGAAATTAAATTTGTGGGAAACCAAATTGATCGATTGGGCTTCTAAAAGGCTCGAATATGATTAAAAAATTATCTGGAAATTGGATTATTGATAATCGATATTGATAATTGAAAAAAAAAGTTTCAAATGTAAGTGAGTACATTGAATTCTGCCAAAATTCACTTTGACCTCAAAATTGAACAAGTATGTAGAATTAAAGATTTAAAAAATGCTTTAATTGCGCGAAAGTGTTATACTAAAAACAACGTGTGTTGCATATTTTTGTCCCTGAGAAGAATCTATCTGTAACGTGTTGAAATGCTATGTATGTATGTACATATATCGTTTTCTGATAGCAAGGTTTCCTTATTCTCAAGAAAAAGAAGGAACGTCCAAATTCGTTTCCCTCGTACTTCTGTTGATGAATATAATGGAACATAATTTCGACAAGTGGATTATACATAAGATTAATAGATAGATAAGATTAAGATAAATAAGATAGGATTTAATTTCGAGAATAGATTATAAATAAGATTAAAAGATACGAAATTTGAAGTTTTTTTTCGAATTACAATTTTTTGAATTGTAAATCAATTACACGATTTGAATTATATATTTCAAGATATGAAATAACTTTCTATTGATTCTTTCGATTTGAGTCTCGAAATCACGATTGGTCGGGTGACGATTGACCGGAAAGACCTGAACGAAACGTCCAAACAACGCGGGGGTGCCAGGCGTAAGTAACTTTTCAAATCTGGGTTCGTTCGTCCGACAGATAACAGAGAAACGCAGTACATTCCAAAGAAGCTTAAGCTTACCTGTCTACGAGGGATGGACGTTATCGCGGAAAATAGCGCAAAGTGCACTTGACGAACGTTTTCGTTTTGAAAAATTTTAAAATAACACTTTGTTCGTAAGTGTACACGTATGTATCTGCTTTTTATCTAATTATTTTTGTTTCAACGTTTGTAAAAACGGTCAAAAGATTCGATTAACGAGTATATGTAGATTAAATAAGAAAAAGTGCTGAACAGTATTTCTCGAATCACCGTAAAACAAACAGCCGATTCACTAGCTTCAAGAAAAATCAATACGTCTTTTGTCATTAAAATTCCACGATAGATTTGCGTGAACAGGAAATATGACAATTTAGTAATTTAGGAAATATCCTGTTACTAAACGTTATGTATTTATGATCGCTGTACCTTGAGAGGACATAGCCACATGTTTTCGTCGGAGAGGAAATTCGTCCCGTGAGATCTCTCCAAAGAACAGACGATTTATCTCACTCGAGAAAACGAACCTCGCTTTATCTCTTGAAGAAGTGAAAGAGAAAGAGGACAGAGCTTTTTACGAATGCTGTCTACGACGCCAGTTCATAGCAATGCTGGTGAGCATAATTCTAGAAATAAGTTTCAAGAAAAAATATTTGGCAATGTCGTCAATTGTTCAGAGACTTGAGACTTTCATCGTTTAATTTTATGGATATAATTACCAAAATCGGAATTTCTGTATGTGGGTTATTATCTTGGAATTCATTTTGGAAGAGGTGTACACGTTTGGAGGTTTTCGATTCATTTTTTATTTCTTGAACAACACTGTTCTCCAAAAAAGTGAAAATCTAGAAAAACACTTTCCTATGATGTTTCTACCTAATTTTCAAACTTGGTTGAAACTTACCGATTAATTAATTAACTAATTAACTATCTAATTAATATTGACAATCTAATAACCAATTGAATGCAATTGAAAAATAACAAATTAGTAGTCAATTAATATCGGCAATTTAATGTAATAATGGATAGTAATCCACTTGAAATTTCGAAGTGTTCAATACGATTATTCTAGAGGAAATATTGAAATTTACGAACGAAATGTAGACCTTACTTGTACGACAGGGTGAATATTCCTGCGATTCGTTGAAATTGTTGCTGACGACCCAGCAAGTACCAACGGGTTCCCGCCGACTTCCAACGGGCGAGTCCTTGCTCCATCGATTGTCTTCCGGGTCGTATTTGGATTGAGACACGGAGAACCAGATGTACCTTGGAGCGCACGCCTGCAAATATATAAAACGGAAGTGTTCAACGTCATTCACTTTCCACTATGCATCCATGTGTCTTATATTATCAATGGTCATTTCGTCACTAGCTATAGTCGACCAGTCGATCGATTAACCGGTCGGTCCACTGTTTAAGCGCATTTTGTTTCGACCTACATACAACAGACAGAGAATTTCGCCTCGATTAAAATTCGATATGTACATAATCTTTGATTAATCTTCATACAACCAATTGCAAATCGTTATATCTTTAATCGCGTTGAAATCATTCAGTATGATTCCGTCGACAATATCTTACTTTATATATATATATATATATATATATATATATATATATATATATATATATAAACAAATATTTAAATGAAAGAATTTATTTTTTCCTTTTCCCTTTTTCTTTCTTTCTTTCTTTTTTATACATCAGAAAGAGTATGAAAATTAAAGTTTTCATCGTATTTTTTGTCATCTATATCATATCATCTCATTTGTACGACCTAGTACGACAGGTATTGGACAATTTGTATTTTTGGCAGTGGAGTCACAATTGATTTGTGTACACTCACTCGTCCAAGTCCTGGGACGAGGCTTGAAACGATCGTCATCGTGTTACGCCAATCGTCTGTACTTGACCAGGAAGCTGACTGTAGTAGCTAATGGCCTTAATAATAAATATAAACGACTGTATAAATATACATGATAAAACATAACAACGCACTTTACGTTTCATCGTAAGATGACGCAGAAATAACATCTGAAAAAATTCGCGCGAAATTCGTCACGCGCCACCTTGTTATGCGTATCACGTTAGTATTACCAAAGAAATTAAATTAAATTGTTTTTATCTTTTGCATTTCGCAACAGAGTGTGACATGTATTGTGATAGATATTTTTTGTCGCCCAATTATCGGGGAATTATCTTTTGGTCTTTGCTTTGAATGTGTGCTTGTTTTTTGATTGATCTGTTTGAATCTGACAGATACAGTTGAGTTGAATATGTGATAGCCATAGTTGGAAATAATGTTTGAAACTTTTTTAATCCATTTGCGTTGTCACGAAAAGGGTAGACCGTGCACAAGGGTGCATTCCTGTTAAATAAGGATACGATTAACCACCATTTCACTCAATTCACGAGGCTGAAATCGTCTTCATATACGTACATGCATACATACATATATAGCCAACAGAGCAGATTTAAGGGAGAGAACAAACGCGTGGTCCATCGTCTCATTGTCAGACGTGGTCCAGTAACATTTCAATCGGTTTCCAAGGCTAGCCCCGTGTGTAAACGAGTTCTAACGAGCCGTATGTAAATGGGAATGCCGACTCCGCTCTGCTCCACGCAGAAGGATCGTACGTTATTGCGTCGACCGATGCACGAAACATTGCATTATTAATTGTCAGCCAATTAAGGCGTGTTGCAACATTGCCGCGTGTTGTCATAGACCCTTAATCGGAGTATTCCTCACCCGAGTGTTCGTCGAAAATTAAAGATAGAAAGAATCGAGAATTAAAGATATTGATAGAAAATTAAGATGTTCAGGGTAAGGGATTTAAGAGAGAAACGGAAATAGACAATAAATTAAGTCAAAATTTTAGGTATAAATTTTTTTTACACCATCCGGATATAAGTATAGGATAGTAAATTTTTCTATCATATTCAAGTCCATTGTCCAAAGGAAAATCTTCACGAAAACTCTCCACATTAGCAAGCATTGGAACGTAGCATGTGTCTCATCTCTTCCGAATCAAGTCAGCAAGTCTTCATCGACAAATCAATTCTAACATTCTCGACATTGTACACGATCGTAATGGCAAGTAATTGGTTGTACATTCGTTGCGAAGAGAGAATATCGACGATTACGCACGACTCACAATTGCGCGGCGATCGCGGAAATTGAAGTTGATCGGTTCGATGTAGAAAAGTATGTGAGAATAGAGCCAAGTGTCGTGACTTAATTGAACGTAACGACCGGTCATGTTTTTTCGCCGATCGAAAGCGAGGGAACATGGCCGAACAGGAACGAGGGACGTGAAAAAAAAAGAAGAGCCTACGTCGTCGTCGTCGTGTCGACGTGTACCGCAATTTATCCATTGCGCCAGTTTAGCTCAATCGCTCAAGGATCACTGCCTCGAATCACTCGTGTGACTCTTGCCAAATGTAAAAGGTTCTGTTACGAGACCTTGTGTAGTAACTTTGTTCGAACGAATGTAACATTCGTTCATTCTTCATTGGTTTTCAGCTCTTGTTCTGTGGTAAAATTTTGAGTATAAATAAAATGTTCTCACCGAACAATTAATTGTACATACATAAGTACTTGTGTTAAGTTTGTATTTTACTACATTTTCTGATTACCAAGTCATGCAACAAATCCCACATGAGCACGGAAGAAACGAAACTTGTGTATTTTCAATTATAATATGAGAAAAAGGAATCAAAGAAGAAATGCAAGAAAGGAATAATAATTCGAACGACGTGATGATCATACGTATGATTCACCACTGTGATTACACCTCAACTGTATCTGCGTTTACTCTTCGTTAAAGGACCCACTCGAAAGAGCTTAAGGTTCCGCTAATCACATGGTTCTTTTAATCGCCAATAAATAAAACCACTTGGTGAGTTTTTAACGCGCTCCTATCTTTTTTTCTTTTTTTCTTCGCGCCGAATGTTGCCGTCAGCGCTGGTTTCTCTTTGATTGATTTCAGTCAGAATGATTTTGTAATACATTTGAATTGGTAAATTATCATTGGAACGATTGAAAAGTATGAGAAAAGATGGCGTTAACAAAGTAAGAGAAACAGTTAAAAGTAATAAATGATCAGAGGCGTTGCGATTGTCGATTATCGTACAGTTATAATTTTAATTTTTTCCTCAACGTTCGTTTTATTCCTAGCGGAATTGTCTTCGTCCCAAAGTTATTACTCCTTCCATGCTGAAGAATTGCACAGATATAGGAATAATTGTATTTTATCATAAAGTCTGTTTGTATGTTAATACATACATTTATCTAGGAGGAAAACTCTATGCGTGAATGTCCATATATGCTTTGTTTCTTAAAGCAACAAAAATCGAAACGCAGAAAAAATTTAAAACAGTTAGACTTGCATTATCAAATGACCTGAACAGTTTGACCAGTTTTTCGAAGATGTGATAAATTATGAATTTCCACAGAAACAGATTGAAAAAATTGACTTCTCCTTTCCTTAGGAACTCGGAAATATTTCACTCGTGAATCATTACAATCGTATTTCTCTCACGAGATGTGATAAAACTTATCTTTAAAAGAGTAAAATAATCGGAGGAGTCGAACGGATTTATCTAAAGAAACGTGAAATATCTTAACTGGTATATAATGATATATATATATATCACTATCGTAAATCACGTTTTCTTCCTGCGGTATGTTTAAGATTACTCCTTTGTAAATAGAAAGCTGACGATTTTTCTATCAACAAATAATATTTAACTAACTTGACTATAAACTAAACTATAAACTAACATTACTAGCTAACTAAAAGCATTATGTTAGCTTTCTTTTAATTGCAGGTTATTTTTTATTATGTCACTGTTTTATCTTATTTAAAACTTTTGTACAACATCGGAAAATGAATCAATGAATCTTTCGAGGATTCGCACTTAGAGTACACCTAAAGTACCGAGAGAGTTTTCTCATCAAGGCTTACGAGACGATCAATTGCACGCAGGCCAATGTTCGACCTTTTTTTATTGTTCGAAACGTGTAACGCACGCATGTACATACACTGTACACGCAGGAAATTCCCGATAGATCGATAGCTGACAAGCATCGCCATAAGACCGGTATCTTTTGTACCTTTATAAATTAAATTAAAACAATGCTCCGCTACTTTATCCGTTGCAACATTACCTGCAGTTCTTAATGCCTTTCCATTGTAAATTTTCCGGCTAAAAAGAACAGAAAATTTGATCGAAACTTGGAAATATACATATATGCAAAGTATCGTTGAATCCTTTACACGCTTACATTGCTCTCGAACGTGAACCATTGACTTTGTTGTTCTTTTTTTCTTCGGTTTCCTTTCTTTCTTCCTTTCATTCTTCTATTTTTTTAACGGTCTCGTTAAACTTTTTGGAAAAAAGGTCAGACTGAACATATCAGCGACGAAAAAACAGGGAGGAACAGGCCGGCGCACGGTGCGGCGGTAAGTTATTTTTGAACTGTGAATGAGGTCATTTTAGGTCGACTGTACTCAGACTTAACCAACGCGGATAGATCGTTTGTATTTTCAAATACTTGATACAGAAATGGCATCGGGGAACCTATCTCGTATGATCTCGTTTTGCGTGATGCTCAAGCATTGTTAACATACATGTGTGTGTGGAATGAACATGTATGAATAGAGTATGGTGGTTTCAATGTGCTGAAAAATGGATTTTCGATGAAATGGAGTCACAAATTGTGAATTTATTGACTGTTTAAATAAAATCGAAATTCAATAAAAAAACGAAGCAAATTTGAAAATATTTTGAATTACTACTTCCTATTTAGTAGTTAGTAGTTACCTTGTTAAATTAAATTTACTGGATTTAATAATTAATTATTTTTTAGTAAGAAAACCGAGCATTGTTCAAAATACACGAGAGTACTGTTCGCTAGTAAAAAAACCACATTGTCAAACAACTTAACGTAACTGTGCTTGTACTTGAGGTACGAGTAAATAAATAAATTTACTTGTGCAGAATATAAATGTACGTTACCAAAAACGCTTGCAAATACTTTGCTTTCTTGTAAGTTTAATTTTCCATAGTGTATCTTATCAGTGACGTTAATGATTATTGTTACATGCGTATATAGCAGATATTATACATATATTATTTGAAGGAACGATAAATGCTTGTATCTCTATCTCTTGCAAGACACAAAAATCAATTGAAAATTATTGAAACAATAAGTCTACGAGCGTCCAATTACTTTAATCTGCAGGGATTTTTGAAAAGATATTTTCACTGTGAAGTG